CCTCGGCCGCCGCCGCAGCCATGCAGCCAGCCTGCAGCGCGGCCGGAGGGGGCCCCTTTATGAACGTGAGCAACCTGGGCGGCTTTGGCGGGGGTGGCGGCGCGCAGCCCTTGCACCAGGGTGCCTCGGCCGGGGCCGCGTGCGCGCAGGGCACCTTGCAGGGCATCCGGGCCTGGTAGGGCGCCCGCTGCTGCCCGGCGCCACGGGACTGACTGATGCTCGAGAAAGGCTGGATCCAAGAGCCAAGTCCCCTCGTTAAAAATAAATAAATACACAAACCCTGATCCCCAGAGTCCCGGAGCACAGCTCGAGCGAGGCCTGGGGCTCACGGGCGAGGAGGATGCCTGGGTAGAGTCGCGGAGACTGTCTCTGAGGCAGAAACGCCGGCCCGGTGCTGGGGAGGACTGTGGCCCTGGCCCTGGCCCCAGGGCAGTGCGACACGCTGGAACGCTGGCTGCTGTTTAGTTTGAGTGACGCGGGCTTCTCTCCTGCGGCCTCCGTGAAGCGTGGGCAGAGCACCCAAGGACAAAAATTAAAACAACAACAACAACAAGAAACAAACATGAAGGAGAGAAAAATGGGGGTTGTGACTTGAGAAATCACTAGATATCCTACCAACCCCCTGCCCACTTTGCGGCCCGGGGCACTACACCACTCTGGGGTTTTCTTTGCCCAACCGCCTGCTCTCTGCTGCAGATACCTTGGCCTAGAACGCAGAGTTGCCATGGGGTGCCGTGCTTATTTTCTCTGCGAGAAAACCAGCGGAGCAAGAACAAAAGTTGTGGGGTGGGGGGGGCTGAACAAATCTGGTGGCCCACTGGAGGTGCTACTGGGTTTCCTTTCTGTTTCATATTCTGTATTCAGCACATATAATATATATAACTATATCCACACGCCGTGTACACACCCGCTGTCATACATTACAGGAGTCAATAAACAAGGTGCAATATTTCCAAACCATTGGCCGCCTACAGACTCTGTTCCGCTCCCCCCAAAGAAAGGTGGGATCGTTTAAACGCCGGAGAGGGAAGGAAAAGTTGCTTAGGGGAAAGCCACCTTTCCTGGCGACCGCAGGCCTGGCCTCCCTGGAGCCAGGCCGCGCGCGGACTGCAAGTGCCTTCTTTTCGTGGCTTTTTTCATTAAATTCTCCTTACTTTTATAGGGCAGACAGGTCGGAGGCTCAGAGACTTTTGAGATCGGAGCTTTACCTTCCCCCACTCCGTCCAACCCCGCACCACCCAGTTTAAACATGAGAGCAGCTTGGGCTGTGATGTTTGGGCCTGCGTTAGATCAGGGCTTAGCCTGGCCCACCTCGAGGGTCTCCGGGTAAAAGCAAACCTCGCCCCCGGGCCCAACCCTGGGCGGCGCTCAGGCGGCTCCTTTCCCGGCCGCCGCCCGAGCTTCCAGCGCGCCCGGGGAAGCAGCACTGCGCCCTGCCGCGGCGGAGCTCGCCCCCGCGGCCGCCCTCCCTTCTCCCCCGGCGGCCGCGGCTTTATGCGGCCCCTTGTCACTTGCGGAGAATGCCTGTGCGCGGCCTGTGCTGCCACACGGCCGATTGTGAGCGTGCCAAGGCGGGTGAATGGGGAGGCCTCAGCGCGCCATGCCATTGTGGGGCCGGGCCCGGCTGAAAGGCGGCTCCGGGCCGGGAAGGTGCGGGAAGAATGGCTTTTTATTGGAGTCCCGAACAAAAGGTGTGGTAGGAAGGCGAAGTCCCCTGCGCGAACAAAAACCCCAGCGCGTCGGGATTGACGTCGCCCCCGAGCTCCCTATTGCTTCTCAGAGCGGGGGCTTTGTGCAGCAGTCTGCTCAACAGAGGGACGGAGAAATGCGCTGGGGTTTTGTTCCCCACTTTTTGTGCGCTGGGGGAGGGGGCGGCCAGGGGGGCGCCGGGGCTGGGCGGGCAGCAGGGAGGGGCGCGTGATTAGGCCGGCCGGGCGGCGGCGCGGAGACGTTCAGCGGGAGTCGGCGGCGTGAATGCAGGGTCATTATTGCTACAAGTTTAGCAATTTCGCCCTTACAGAGGGGGCGGGGGCCGCCCGGCTGCCGAGCTGCTGAGACCCGAGGAGGAGGAAGAAAAAGGAGGGGAAGAAGGGAGGGAGCTAGGGGAGGGAATCCTGCAAAGCCGGCTGACCGCCCAGGATGAGGCTTGGACGCCTCCAAAAGCGCCTAGCGGGAGGCTGGAGAGGCGGCGCCGGGGGGCAGAGACTCTCCCTCCCCTCGCCTCTGCGGCGGCCGAAAGAACCTAGAGGCTTGAGTTAGTGCTCCAGACTACTTTTACCCCAAGTTCCCCAGCGCCAGTTTCCCGTCCCCTCAAGCTTCCCGACCCCCGCGACGCTCCCAACTCCCTCCTAGCAAACCCTCTCTTCTGGAGCCATAATCTAGCCGGAGTTGCTTGACCGAGGGCTGGAGCGGGGCTGCTGCTGGTGGGTTTCTCGCTTGCTAACCTGCTTCTCGCCGCCCGCAGCCGCTGGCAACACACCCATTCATCCTTCCACCCATCCTTTCATTCCACCGTTTTTTACTGAGCACCTACTAATATATACGCGCCTGCTCTTTTCTGAATGCTGGGGACAGGAGGGGGGAAGTGTCTGCAGGTTTATGTAATTTATTTTTGTAAATAAAAATAAACTGCAGGGGGGGGGCTCCCTGGTGGTGCAGCGGATTAAAGCGCAGCACTGTAAAGCCATCCGCAGCCACTGCAGTATTAGTTTGATCCCGGGCCAGGTTGCTGACCCCCATGGCGCAGCAGACCTCTCCCATCTTGCCGCTGTTCCCCTCAGCAGTATTTCAGTCCATCTGCCTGTTCTGCTCCCCACTCTGTCTCTGGTGAATCCTCTCACACGCACACCTCACCCGCACTTCTGGTCTGTACCCCAGTATGCATAAGTAAATAAATCTTAAAAAAAAAAATAAGTTGCAGGGAAGTGTATAACAAATAACACAAAATAGATAATTTCTAAAAAGTAAATATAAGCAAGTGGGAGTGCAGAGCCTTTTGAAGTAGGCCATCAGGGGAAGCCTGGTGGAGATTTCATTTAAACTAATGCCACAATGACAAAAAGGACATCGGTCCAAACAGCACTTCACTGTTGCAAACTCCCGGCCTCTGCAGTGGAATGCCATGCCCTCCCACCCCCATCTTTCTGGTGAACTCTAGCTCCTCCAAGGCCAAACTTCTTTCCTGAACCACCCAAGTGGAGGTAATCACTCCTCATATGTGCCACCAGAGTCTTAGGTACTTTCCAATACCACAGCATAATGTCTCAATGCCTTATTTATCCTTCTCCCTCCACCTGAGGTCATAGTGAGGTCACGGGGAACAACCTTTGGGAGAGCACAGTAGGACCTTACTGGGAAAGGCTCCTTTCAGGGTGCTCCAGGGCGAATCAACCTGATAGTATAGAAATGTGATCTTGATGCTGGCAAGGGAGATGCCCAGGGGGACCTCTTTGCCCACCTGGGTATAGCCAGGGCTCCTGAATTCACCCATGGAAGAGGTGCTACCTACCCTTTTGATCCCATAGGAAGCCCCACCATCCTACGATGCCACTTGGGGACAGTGTTTCCCCCAAGGAATTGTTGCTCCTTGTCCTACAGGTCAAAACCTGGGCTGAGAATTTTATGAAGACCTACATACTAGGATACAAAGTTTAGGGGTTGTGAGAACGCAGGGTCAGGAGATGAGAGTAAGTACTCGGGCTTAGTGGAGGTGGAAAGTTGGATTGTATAAGATAAACCCAGGACTTGCCTCTGGGACCCAATTTGACCTGTTACTTTCACTAGGGATATGGTTAGTGGGTAAGACATTGCAATGCTCTTAGGAGCGCTCAATTCCAAGGCTGGATGCTAAGGCCTGCAGTGCTAAGAATCTAAGGCTCAGGAGCAGATACTCTCACTCTGGGGGTGGGGTGGGAGGGTGGAGTCTCCTATTAAGCTGCTCCCTTGATCCCAACCTACTCTGTCCTGTTGGGTCAAGCAAGGCCTCAGTGCTCCTAACACTGTGTCATTGCCTTCCTAGCCTGGCTTTCTCCTGTCCATCCTTAACCCTTCCTTCACTCCATACCTTCTCCTGTGCTGGAAGAGACGTCTGACCCTCACAGAGGAAACAACTGTTTCCGTGGATTGGCTTCTGTGCAGTTTAAGTGTCTTGAGATCCTTAAAATTTAGCGTGGACCACCCCTAGCTTCCCCAACCCTTCCCCAGAGCCTGAAGTTTCTGGATATAAATTGCCCCCATCTCTTCACTGAGAGATTTCCAAGCTGCTCTTTGCCGGGGACCAGGGCTCTGCTCACCAGAGAATGAAAATCCCTTGGAGAACACAGCCACCTCTTCCTTGAGCTCTCTCCAGGGCAAAGACCCCTTTCCAGATGCAGACTGATGCTTCCCTGGATTGTCCTGTGAACCAGGAGGAATGGCAAAATCAAGGCAGAATGTCTAATGGCCTGTAAGATGTTGAGCAGATGAAGTTAAGTTATCCCTCTAGGTTCCGGTTTCTGAGTTTTAAGCCAGAGAGGACAATATTATTTCTTCTGGCTCAAATCTTCCTTGCTACCCTGACTGAGTGGATAATTCCTCCACCCAATGACTGGCCCTAGGAGGTAGGTATTTTTTTTAATTAAAAAAAAAGATTTATTTTTACCTATTTCTGCATGTAAGAACTGGGGTGCAAGCCAGAGACAGAGTGGACCAACCCGGCAAGTCTACTGGAATACACTGCTGAGGGGAGGGGAGCGTCTGGCTGGCTGGCGGGTCAGGGGAGGTCTGTGTGCCACGTGCCTCAGCTCCCTGGCTGGGTATTGAGTGCTGCCGGGGCTGGTGGCTGCCACTGCTGGGACTTAACCTCTCGCTCAGATTTATTTATTTGTGCATACAGAACTGGGGTACAGGCTCAGGGGTGGTGAGAGGCTTCACCAGAGACAGAGTGGGGAACAGAACAGGCAAGGCGACGAAGTACACTGCTGAGGGGAGCAGCGGGCGGGTCAGGAGAGGTCTGCCGCGCCATGTGGTCACCTCCAGGGCAGGCGGGGATCGAACTCATACGGAAGCGGCTTTGGATTCTCAGTGCTGTGCTTTAACCCGCTGCGCCACCAGGGAGGGCCCCCTTTTAAAATTTTTCAATGTAAATGTTGGGCTTACATTTTCACCACTCCCGCAACCACCTGCGCCAATATCCCATCTG